CTCGAGCACCGTGACGGCGGCCGCCGCGTAGGCCTCGCCCGCCGCGTTGCGGGCTCGGCATACGTAGACCCCGGCGTCGGTGGGCAGCGCCCCGCTCAGCAGCAGGCCGTGCTCGGCGCCGTCGGCCGGGAAGCTCAGACGCTCCGAGGCCGCCAGCGGCTGCCCGCCCTTCTCCCACACCACAATGGGCGGCGGCTCGCCCAGCACCACGCACTGGAGCTCGGCCTCGCCGCCGCTCACCACCCGCACGGGGCGCGGGAAGCGCAGGAAGCACGGGGGGCTTCCCTGGTCCCCCGAGCCCGCCTTCATCGCGGCGGCCTGGGACAGCCCGCGGGGACGCGGGGGGAAGCGCGGGGAAAGGGGCGCGGGGACGGTGGGGCTCTCCCCGGCCGCCGCTCCTGGCTCGCCTCCTTACCCTCGGCTCCGATCGGCGGTTCTGCACGGGGACTCCCAGGCCTGGAGCCGGAGCTTAGGGGGCAGTGTTTCCTGTTTGCCTGTGCTGCTGGGGCCCGCAGCCTCCTCTGCCCGCGGCCTGGCTTCCTGCTCTCAGAGCCTCTCTTCCCAGCCCCCTCCCACAGCCGGGGCCTCTTTCCCCTCCTCCCTCCCACCTCCAGCCGCCAGGTCCCCAGCCGCCCTCCCGCCCGCCTTGGGCCTGAGTGGCAGAGGCGCCTGCAGCTGCCAATCCCAAAAATATTCTCTGATGACACAGCTGGAGGACAAGAGCCCAGACTGGCTCCTCCAGGCTAAGTATAGAGCAGGCGGGACCACCTTTCTCCCGCCCTAGCCCCAGTTCTAGCCTCAGCTCCGGCCCTTCCCCCCAGGGCTGGCCGAGCAGTTGCTTGGTTGCAAGGGGCCTCCAGAAAGTGTGAGGGGCTGGCCAGTCTGTTTCCATGACAAAAAACACCTTCCGGAGCTGGCAGACCCCACCTCCCAGGCTCCTATCCCACCTGAATGTCACCTGTATTCTGGCTCCTGAGAAGTGAGACTTGCACTCTGTGTGTGTGTGTGTGTGTGTGTGTGTGTGTGTTGCGTAGGGGAAGGGGTTGTATGTGTGGGTCAGGTCAGTTGGGGTGAAAACCCTCACCAGCCCCCTCCCTCACATTCCTGTCGGGAGTGGGAGATAAGGCTCAGGGCCACAGACGTCTGTGTCAGAGATAGGGAGTCTCAATGCCATGGGCAGGGGCTACTGGGACTGCTGGGCGTGGGAAGGACTGGTGAAGATTGGGGTGAGAAGGGTAGAAGAAGGCGGGTGGTGGGATGGAGAGAGGAGAGTGGCAGGGTCTGAACAGACCCTGACAGAAGAGCACAGTGCAGGCTGTGGGTTTGCAGTTGGCAGGGACCAGGTGAGCCATGGTACCCCTAAGGCCACTGCTGTTCTTCTTGCTGCTGGCCCTACAGGGTGGGCACAGCTGCCATGGGCCTGACGTGGACCGGGAGCTTGTTCTGGCCAAGGTGAAGGCCCTGTTCCTGGATGCCCTGGGGCTTCCAGCAGTGACTGGGGAAGGTGGGGACCCTGGAGTCAGGCGGCTGCCCCGAAGACATGCCCTGGGAGGCTTCACGCGCAGGGGCTCCGAGTCAGTGGAAGAGGATGTCTCTCAGGCCATCCTTTTCCCGGCCACAGGTAATAGGGGTGGGCAACCGGCAGGGCAACTTTGAGAGGCAGAGTGGTACAGCATGGGTTTGAGTCCCAGCCATGCCACTCAACTGGCTTTGCAGCAACGGGAAAGTCACTAAACCTCCCTGAACTGCTGTCTCCTCTTCTGTCCAATGGGCTGTAACACCTGTGTCTCAGGATTCAATGAGACAGTGTGTCTAGAGGGCACCCGGGAGCTTTGTGGGAGACCAAGGATCTATAGAGAAAGAGCTGTCTAAGCTCTGGCCCCTTCCTGCCACCTTTTCCTCCTATCTCTGCTTCTGCTCCCTGTCTCAAACCCTATTTCTTCAGCACCAGGTGGCTGAGATTTGAGAAGATGCTAGGGTTGCTAGATCGAGTAGTTGGAAAACCAGTCTACCTTCTCTTGAGTTCCTTTCTCACCTCCTAGTGCCCTCCGAATTAACTTGGTGGCAGTGAGGTTGTTTTGTGTGTGTGTGTGTATTTCTCCGTGCTTCACTGATGGCATGAACCAGTCAATTAGCCCTCTGGGTGGGCTTCTTGTATCTGGCCTACTTTTCTCTGGGAGGGTCTAGCTTCCCTGCCCTTTAGCCCCACGTAGCACGTAGCACAGTGGTTAAAAGTAGTTTGGGGATTAGGTAGCATCCTAGCCTGGCCACTGGGTAGTTGAATGCCGCTCCACCTCTCTAAGCCTCCATTTCCTTATCTGCAAAATGGACAGTTTGTTGTGGTGATTCTGTTGAGAGAATCCATGTAACAGTTTAGCATCAAGTGCCAGACCTTTGACTGGTGCTGGGCCATGGTTCAGCATTCAGTGGAATCTATGTACATGTCAGACTGAGAATGCCAACCGCACTTTCTTGGAAAGAAGTGCCTTTTACTCTGAATTAAGTGTTTTTACTTTTTTTTTTTCTATGTGTGCGTTAACACGTCTTTTTTTAAAATGGAATTATTTAAAAATAATTTATCATGTAATATTTCTGACATGCAAAAATACATTAAAGAGTAAGAAGCATCCACATACATAACATTCGAGATACCACTGTACATCATCAGATGGACAGATGTTTAAGTCCAATAATTGGCAGTGTTGGTGAAGGTCAAGACAGCCAGGGCCTCTTACATGCGACAGATGAGAGGATTAACAGTTACAAGCACTTCAGAGAGAAGTTAGCAATATTATGTAAAGTATTTTTTAAGTCTTTTAATGATGAAATAAATGATAGGTAGCCTGTGTCATTTCCCTCAAGACTGTAGAGTCCCCAAATGTGGTAAGGGGCTCAGCTGAGTGCTTGGCACATGGTCAGCCCTCATGAATAGAACGGTCCCAAGCCCATCAGACCTGACTACTTCTCCCTTCCTTTCTGTCCCTGCAGGTTCCAACTGTGAGGATGAGCCTGCCACTGGCGTGTTGGCCCAGGAGGCTGCCGAGGGCCTCTTCACATATGTGTTCAGGCCGTCCCAGCACACACGCAGCCGCCAGGTGACCTCGGCCCAGCTTTGGTTCCACACTGGGCTGGATGGGCAGGACCTCGCAGCCTCCAATAGCTCTGGGCCCTTGCTCAGTCTGCTGGTGCTGTCATCCGGGGGCCCCAAGGCTGTACCCATGTCACTGGGCCAGGCACCCCCTCGCTGGGCCGTTCTGCACCTGGCCTCCTCTGCTCTCCGCCTGCTCACCCACCCAGTGCTGGTGCTGCTGCTCCGCTGTCCCCTCTGTTCCTGTTCAGCCCAGCCCGAGGCCACACCTTTCCTGGTGGCCCACACCAGGGCCAGTCCACCCAGTGGAGGGAAGAGAGCGCCGCGCTCCACTCCCCCGCTGCTGTGGCCTTGGTCTCCGGCTGCACTGCGCCTGCTGCAGAGGCCTCCAGGGGAACCGGCTGCCTATGCCAACTGCCACAGAGCTGCCCTCAACATCTCCTTCCAGGAGCTGGGCTGGGACCACTGGATCGTGCACCCTCCCAGCTTTGTCTTCCACTATTGTCATGGGGGCTGTGGGCTGCCCACTACACCTGGCCTGCCCCTGCCGACCCCTGGGGCGACCTCCACCCCTGTCCAGCACCTCTCTTTGTTGCCAGGGGCCCAGCCCTGCTGTGCTGCTCTCCCGGGGACCATGAGGTCCCTACGTGTCCGCACCACTTCAGATGGCGGCTACTCCTTCAAGTATGAGACGGTGCCCAACCTTCTCACACAGCACTGTGCCTGTATCTGAGGGGGTCCTGCTTAGTCCACGGCTGGGAGACCACTTAGAAGTTAGTTCCGAAGATGGATGCTTCCCACTTTCACCCTCCTTCCACTTCTCCGCCTGAGAGCTCACCCTCTACCCCTGCACCCTTGGTCCCATGCCTAACATGTGACAATAAACAGCACAGTGCATATGACTTGGCGTGCATTCTCAGGTTTCTCTGATAAGGTGTGGGATAGTCTTGGACCCAGGAACATGGGACTGTGGGACCTCAGGTCACCTAGCCTCACCTGACCTCAGAGACCAGGGATTTAAGGGCTGCAAATGGACACGTAGCTGTTGGGAAGCTTCAGTGCTTGGAGATGACACAAAGGTGCTCTAGGTTCCCCCAGCAGCCACTCTGGAGACAGAACTGGCCCCCACGCAAGCTGAACTTGACATGGCGATCAGGTGGCTTACCCATGCCACACCTGAAGGAACTACTGCGTTCACAGTGCCTACAACCAAAGCCACTCTCCCCCGCCCTGCCATTCTCTGCCCTAGCTGATGGGCATCCAGCGCAACGTCACTAGATTCCTGGACCTAGTCCACCTAGACTGGCCTTCGGGGCCTGATGAGAAAAAGGTTTATAACTGGTCAGATTGTACTTGGGTGCGAAGTAAAGAAAAAATGAACTGGCGGGGTCAGAAAGAAGTCAACAGAAGTAGAGAGGTGTCATCATGTTAAAATCAGATCACCAGGTGAAAATCTGTGACTGTTCACTTGCCACAAGTCATGGGATGTCTTTTGAATCCACCGCTGGCTCTTGAGGTAGACTCCCTGGGGCCTTGTCCTCGGATTCTGGTTCTTGAAACTGACTCCCTTGATGCTATTTGTAATCCTTCACTGTTGAGAGGATGGAAAGGCAGCGTCCACTGCCAGAAAAGAACTGCTCTGTGACGTACTCAGAGTCCACTGGGGTGTGAAACGGTTCTTTTGTCTTTGCGTTTCCTGGCAATCTTGATTGGGGGTCCCTCTTCTCTGACCTTAGGGGGAACTCTGGTAGCATAGTGCCTAAGGCACTTGACTGCTAACCAGAAGGCTGGCGGTTCAAACCCACCAGGCACTCCTCGGAAGGAAGCTTGGGCAATCTACTGGAAGGAAGCTTGGGCAATCTACTTCCGTAGTGATACTGCCTTGGAAACCCAAGGAGGGGTCACTATGAATCAGGTTCGACTTGACGGCACATAACAACAACAACAACTTCTCTGACCTTAAATAGTAAAACTAGTTGCCATCAGTCAACTCCGACTCATGGTGACCCAATGTGTGTCAGGGTAGAACTGAGCGCCATCGGGCTTTCAATGGCTGAATTTTTGGAAATCAAATACCAGGACTTTCTTTCAAGGCCCTTAGGGGTGGACCTGAACCTCCAACCTTTTGGTTAGCAGCTGAGCACTTGGACTGTCTGCACCATCCAGGGACTCCCTTTTCATCCTCCTGCCCCACACTAGGTTCCTGACTCTCACCCAGTTGGTTCTAGCCAGTCACCCATTAAGGAGTGTGGGGTGTGTGTGGGGGATGTTCAGGTCCATTCAGACTGAAAGCACTTTCTGAGACTGACTGCACAGCGCCAGTGTGCATTTATGTTAGCAGGGTCTGTGACTTGTCAAAGACTTCCTTCTATTAGCCCAGCTTGGTGGGGTGGGCGGGTGAGGCCTGCCCCAGGAAGCAGGTGTGGGAGGGGAGAGAATCCCATGCAGTCACACTTAACGTTATCTTCCCCACTTGAGCTACCCTCAATGAGCTACTATTCCCCGTGGCCACAAGAGCCGGGCAGAGCAGTTGTGTACATGCTCCACATATGCCTGTCTCTGTTGACACTGCATTCCCAGGAAGGCTGCCACTGCCCTCAAGGACCTGCCTGTTCATAGCCCCAAGTCCCCCAGCACCTTCATCCAGACCCTGTGTTGGAACCACTCTGTGCTCTGGGCTCTTGGGGGCCTCCGGCAGGTGGTGGACCAGCAGAGAGCTAGCTGGGCTGGGTGTGGTGGGGGTGGGAGGTTTCCCTCCAGGCTGTGTCCCACTCTGCCCCTGCCTGTCTTCCTTTGCCAGAGCCCCCCTGCCCTGAGAGTGAGGGCTTTCCCTGGGATCTTCAATCTTTCTATGAGCCATGGGGTCCTCATTCTTCCTGCCGGGACCCCCGACCTAGGGCTCTATGTTGTCCAGATGTTTCCTGTCCCAGGGATATGAGAATCTGAGGCTGGGGATACTCCACTGAGGGGGTGATTCTCCACTAGGCCACTTAGCAGACTGTTGATGTTATGTGCTGTTGAGTCACACCCGACTCATAGCGACCCCTCCTTGGGTTTTTGAGGCAGTATCATTATGGAAGTAGATCGTCCAACCTTCCTTCTGAATAGTGGCTGGTGGGTTTGAACTGCCAGCCTTCTAGTTAGCAGTCAAGTGATTTAGGCACTATGCTACCAGAGCTCCCACACTTAGCAGACTGCGGAGGGGGGGGGGGCTAGTAAAACGTTTTCACACATCACATTTGAGACAAAGGGAGAAAAGTGAGTACAGAGAGTGAGTCCTTCACAAAGCCAGATGCACTCATTTTAAGACTGTCCTTTATGCTAAAGTGATCCTTTCTCTCTATATATGTTATTTCTTCTATGATATCCTTCTGTGATATATATATAGTGGACTCTATGGCAATGATGCATGGTAGTGTTTTGTTTTGGTCTTTAAGTTTTCACTTAACAAAATTAAAACTTGGAAATTCTAGTTTGGATTCTTAAGATTTTTCTTTGGAATTTGGCGGCTTTGTGGAATCCCAAAGCCTGGGAGTCACTGGTCTCGGTCACCCCTCCCACAGTTTCTAAGCTTTATTGTTAGGTGCCTTTGAGTCGACTTACAATGACCCCATGACACAGAGTAGAGCACTGCCCCACAGGGTTTCCTAGACTGTAGTTTTTAGGGGAGCAGATTGTCAAATCTTTCTCCCATGAAGTCCTTGGGCAGGTTCGAACTGCCAACCTTTCAGTTAGCAGCCAAGCTCTGGACTGTGGAGCTACCAGGGCTCCTAGCTCTAAAGCCTTAGATTCTGCTAAATTAACAACTCAGGAAGCTAAGTCTGCCTCTCCCTAAGAGAGTCTTGACAGTGTCTAAGGCCATCTTTCTCTTTGTCATGAAATCAAGAAGAGTGGACTTTAGAGTTGCTCCCCATTCCCAGTGCTAATTGTTAGGGACACTCTGAATACTCTCAATTCTGAGTCACTCAGAACTGACGTAAACCAAAAAAAAAAATCTATATCACTGGCTCATGATAAGCCCATGGGCACAACCGGCTAAGGGATGGCTTGGTTCTGCGCTCTAAAGATGCTACAGGCACTACTTCCCTTGGATTGGCTCCATGGGACTGTGGGACTCTCACCTAGTTGGTTCTAGCCAGTCACCCATTAAGGAGTGTGGGGTGTGTGTGGGGGGATGGCCTTGGGTGGCTCCAGGCTCTCATCATCACACCACCTGGTCCAGCAGTGGGGAATTTCCTTATGAAAGTTCAAGAATGGGTCTTAACGGCCTGATTAGGGTTATGCACTTCTCCCAAAAGGTGGGCTAGGGAACAAAATGCACTAAAGCCTTAGCTCCGATTATGTGTCCTACCCCTAGAATACAGGGTCTAAAGAACTATGGCTAAAGGTAAAAGACAATAGTACCCCCAAAGCAGGGTACAGTTACCACAAGAAGTTGAGGTAGGTTGGATGCTGACAGGCAAGGACTATTAGTTCTAGTTCCTAATTCTCTCTTAAATCATGCCCTTCCTCTCCACCTACATGGACACTCTTTTGTCACGTAAGGACTTATTCTTGATTGGGCCTCCTTAACCAGTCTCCAAGCATTCAATCCCTGCTCTCCAATCCATCCTCCGTATGGCTGCCAAAGGGTTCCTTCTGATGTGATCATGTCCCTTAAACCCAAACCAAACCCACCATCATAGAGTCAATCAGGACTTTAGCGACCCTATAGGATAGAATAGAACTGTCCCTTAGTTTTTCCAAAGCTGTACATCTTTACAGAAGCAGACTGCCACATCTTTCTCCCAAGGAGTGGCTGGTGGGTTTGAACCACCATCCTTTTGGTTAGCAGCCAAGTGCTTAATCACTGTGCTACCAGGATTCCTTTCATGTCATTTAAAAACCAAACTCACTGCCATCAAGTCAGATCCAACTCATAGTGACCCTTCCTTGGGTTTCCGAGGCAGTGTCACTACAGAAGTAGATTGCCCCACCTTCCTTCTGAGGAGTGGCTGGTGGGTTTGAACTGCCAGCCTTTTGGTTAGCAGTCAAGTGCCTTAGACACTATGCTACCAGAGCTCCTTCATGGCCTTTAGGTAGCCTAAAAACAAATCATCTAAGCAAAGTTCAACCTTCTCCGTATGGTACAAAAGCTCTTTGCAATCAACCCTAAACCTGTCTTTACAAACTTATTTCACCTTCATTCCTTCCTCCCTCTCTCCACTGAACCACACACACTCAGACTATGTTAGTGCAAATTCTGGCCACAGCTCCAAGTACATATTTTCTTCTCATACTGTCATATCTTTACCATACACTGTTCCTTCTCCTCCCTTCCCTGGCAACACCTTCAAGATCCAGTTCTGACTCCATCTCTTCTGTGACTGTTTCCTTAACTCCCAGATGGTAAAGGTAACCACTCTTTCCTCACTGTTTGCTGGGGTCTTTTTATTTGTTGTTGAGAATATGCACATCCAAACATTCACCAATGCAACCATTTCTACATGTATAATTCAGTGACGTTGATTACATTGAATTGTTCCTCCCCCGTTGAGGTAAATTCACTGCCGGGTCCTTTGTTTTTAAATTTTGTTTTCTTTTAAAAATGTATTACAAAACATTTCAAACAGAAACAAAAACTAGTACAATGATCCTCCACGTGTCCGTAACCTAGCTTCAATAACGGCTAATCTTATTTTAGAGAGGGGGGGGAGGGAGAGGAGCTCTGGTAGCGATGTGCCTAAGGCACTT